GCTCCGACCGAGGACCGGGGGGAAGCGCCGGCGAGGCGAGTTGTGGAACGGTGCGGTCGTTCAGAGCGGCGTCCCAAACCCTGAAGGAGCAAAGCGCGGGTAAACGGCTTGCAGGCAGACCGTTGCAGTACGAAGCAAGGCTGTTGTCAGGTTTTGTACCGTCTTCTGTATTCCCTTCCTTTGGGCAGTTTGGCCCTGCAACGTGCACAGGTGACATTAGGATTTTCAAGACTGTCGTTTCTGAAGACACTCTCTTACCTACTCTCTACTTAATATTTTTTCAGAGCACGAAGGTGGCTTTTCCCCCTCTGTTAATTAACTTTTTTTGCCCTTATTTGCCTGCCTTATAAATTCTTCTGACACCAGGATCTGGGATTAAACAGCATGTGAGCATGATGCTGAGTTGACAGCCTCGGAGTCAGAAGCATTTAAACGCGTGAACAGCGCGGACGCAGAGGAGATCCCCGTTCTGCCTGCCGCCGAGCTTCCTGGGACCCCTGCCGCGAGGGCACCCCCTGTGCCCAGTAGGAAACGGGCTAGTCCCAAAACCTTTGCACCTAGTAGTGGTTTCCTGCCCTGAGGATGCCAGTGGTGATTTGCTCAGAAATACGTGCATCTATATCTTGCATTGCTGCATCAGGTTTTCGCCATAACGCAGTTACAGGACAGTGGTAACCTGCTGCGGCACCACCTCTGCGCGCTGGCTGGATTAGGTTGCCTTATTTGGTTAACAGCAGTTTACTAAATCCCGGTTGGGAGTAGAAAGGTGGGGGGTGAAAAGAGAAATCTTGTGGATTAGCTGGTCTTAGTTTTCCGCTTGGGTATAATCCTGGTCTGAATGATGAGCTGTGTGAGCAAGCAGTCCATGTTTTGCGATTGTCTTTACTTAAACGCGTGCACTGCTTGGCAGCTTGCTGTTTTTCACGCTGATGTGGCACGTAGCGCTTGCTTTCGTTATCTGGAACGAAAACATGAGTTCATCTCAGATAGCACGCGCTTTTTGATTAGCCGTCAGATGGTAAGGCATTATAAAAGCTGCTGACGGGACAAATACAGACCTGCGGTGTGCCGCTTGAAAAGACTTTGTGCCCTTCTTATCAGTCCCCCGAGATACCCAGCTACTCCCCCCAGCAGCAGCAAGCAGAAATAGGGGTTGGTTGCAATAGAGTCAAATCTGTCTCCCCTTATTCAGGCCCGCAGGCACCAGCAATACGCGCGGGGCAGCCTGTGTGGGTGAAGCAGGCGAGATGGCTCCTTCCTCTTCCCCATGGCCCTTGGCTTGAGACACTGCTCTGGGGTGAGCCTTGGGCTGCCTGAGACCTAGCCGTGTCCCTCGCTAGGTAATGCCCGCTGGGGTCTGTTGCGGGATGGCTGCAGGGTGGCGGTGATGCAGGGCCGCTCTCCCGTGCGGTGTGACATGAAGGGCTCGGGACGGACCTGCAGGCAAACCCTGACTTCACCAGCACAGCCCTTCTTCGTAATCACCAGCTCGTCTGGTGGCACCTGCTGTCTTGGCCAGCCTGGACTGTGTGGTAGGACAGCTGCCCCCCTCCGCATCCTCAGGCCATGGTACCGCTAAGACACAGGAGAACAGGGCTCAGTGCGTTTTGAAAAAAAGTTTGAAGATTTGCCGTAGAATACTTGATCTTCAGGCCCTTCCATGACTCCCCTGACGTTACGTGCAAACCTAAGCCAAACAAGCCAATGTTCTTAATACACAACCAGAAAATAGAAGATAGCGTGTATTTTGCTGACAGCTAACTGCAAATCAAAGAAACAGGATGCACAATGGTTAGCTAACACCTGCTTTGGCAATATGTGTAACTTCCCATTTTGCACTCTGATTAATGTGATGTTAAGTTCAATTTGATGGTAGCAACTGTAGGCTAGTCATTTTACCGATGAGAGACCAGCTGTACCCCAGACACAGGGACACTGAACTACCTTACACAAGTGCTGTGGGGCTGAAGTGTTGGGAAGTGACTTGCCAACTGATGTTTCTTCAGCACATCAGAAATTGAGTGTGCATGAAAAGAGCCTCTTAGGAGGGTCCACCAGGACCATCTCCTAGTCTGAAAGCTTTTGGATACCCGCTGTTCCTCCATGGGTTGTCTGTGACCGGATTGGGGTTCAAGTTAACGCCATGGTACCAGCATTAAAGGTTCTGCTGTCGGTTACTTCTTGGGATGCTCTGAACCACTCTGGGGACCACGTATTTCAAGGAAGGTGGGAACAGGAGCACCTGAAGCAGGGAAAGCCGGGAGGCCTAAGCATGGGAGCTTGCTTCCACAGCTCTGCTTCTCTGCAAGATGTTTCTGACATCTGTACCTCCTCCAGGATTGCTTTGCCGCTGCCACAGGTAGTCTTGAACGTAAAAAAAAAAAAGTCATGATCTGAACCATCCATTTTGCCCTCGGTTCCGACTTCTAATAGTCGTTAGTGCGGCTGGGATTTAGGTGCAAAGAGAGACGAGACAAGACAACAAACCTGGCGCGTGCCAGGGAAAGTAAGGGGACTCCTTGGCTGCCTGGGTCACGCGTATTCACGAGCTGTGCCAAACCTGGGGGCTGAATCCTGGCATCCCTGTGTTAAGAGGCAGGAAGGATCTCAGCAAGCTGTTTGAGATATCTGGTTGCTCTCTTCTTGAATATTCCCAGTGCACGCCAGCCCCCCGGGGAGCTGCAGTGGGGCGGTAGGTGTCCAGAGCTGGGGCACCCAGCTCCAGAGCAGCCAGCGGGCAGTTTTGGGGCAGGAACGTGAGAGGAGTTATAGGAGCAGCTTGAAGAGTGAGTGGAAGGGGTGCTACAAATATGAGGGAAGGATCGCACTGGATTTATCACAGCCCGAAATAAATTAACCTCTGGGAGGAATAATTTTGTAATAATTTGCATTTAGATTCTCTTAGCACATCCAAATAACCCCAAACCTTTTGCAAGCATTGTAATGAATTCAGTCTGGACCTGGTGAGAGGGATGCAAATAGCACTATTTACATGGTTAAAGGGAGCCAAGCACTCCTCTCTCCGTATTGCGATTTAACCCCCTGGTGCTGCGTTTCCCTCTTGTTTTTGTAGCTGCAGAGCCTCACGGCGAGGCGTGACAAGAATAGCTGGAGGGTTTTTCTTAATGTGCTTTGTTGGGATGGTGCCAGCCAGGCAGGTTGCCCCGCGTGCCGTGGCCGCAGCGGCTCCCA